ACATTGGCTGGCAGATGGAATCCGGAGGAGACCCAACCTGTGCGATCTAATTGGTCTGAGAGAGGTAATCGGCAGGAGGCGGTCTCTCAGATACTAATAAAAATGACATGGATTGTATTTGTACTAAATGTACTCTTCAGCACGCACATCACCTTGATTTTCAGAAGGTACATAAATATATTGTTCTGAATTGTTTCAATTTTTATTCATAAACTGCAATGATTTTAGCACCTAGTAAGAAGGTACTTTTAAGTAACGAGGCAAGAGACGTCGTTGTAACAGTAACGGTTTCTAACAGTTTATTCGCAACAGGTCTAGCTAACAGAGGATTCAGAACGCGGACAGCTCCTGACCAACTGACCAACTGACAGCTCTTTATATACTCGAGCTGTCAGTTGGCCAGCCAATAGGTAACCGGCGCGTCTCCCTCCAGCTGGCAGGTGCACCGCAGCCAATCATATACCGGCTGCTCCAGCCCCACCCGTCGGCTGGTACGGGAGGACGCAACAGGTACATACTTGTGAACTCATCAGGATGTGGATTACTGCCAGTTTAATCAAACGTGATGGATGTTTGGAGTATATTGATATCAATATACTAGAGTTATCACCAGTTTTTAATAATACTAATATCTTCATTTGATCTGGCTAGCTTTCTCTAAAAGAGAGAGACGATGATTTGAAGAGCTGAATTAATATACTTCTCAAAGGGTTTCCTTTTACAGCCAGCTTTCATAATTAGATTTGAATCAATAACAGGCACACTCCAGACCAGAAAATCTTTTTGCAAGGCATCTTGCTTTGCAAGAACATGTTTTCCATTTTTTTGATTCACTATTTATTTCTCTCCCCTGTATTTCTATTTCTATTTTCTTCATCACCTCAAAATTTCTGATTCTTTTGTCTTTGTTTTACCAGGACTATTACTTCATCTCACATCTTTATATTAGCAGGTAAAAGAAAGTTAGAAGTTATTATGCTTTTCTATACATTTTTACATTAAAAATGTTTTTAAAAATCTAATTTAACTTTGGTCAATGTTGTATAAATCTAATTTAAACGAACAAGTCAAAAAGGTACTAAACAAAACAAAAACAAATCCACTGATCCTTAAAGTGACTATTATTTGCCGCTCAAGAATAAAGAATTCTATAACAGATCTACAACCTCTGATGTGACAGAAGGCACATACATTTAATAAATACCCATCACATGGTTTATAGGTGGCACTTCCCCCCAACGAGGTTAGC